ACCACAATGCTGACAAGTGATTAATAAAAGTCAAAAGACCAAAGAGGTCACCTTAATACCAAAAAAAAAAAAAAATAGGGCACTATTCAAATTTCAACTTCTGAGTCTTATAAGGTACTTTCCACTGATGTTTTCTGTTTTTACATGACCAAAGATACATATTTAAGCTATTTATTTGGCTAGATTTTGTTATACAAGTCCTATCATGCTTCTTGGCAAATTGCTGTATCTTGTCAAATTCATTATTAGAAATAGAAATATGAATAAAGTAAACTAATCCAGTGCATTGATTTTCTGATAATATATTTTTGGGTGAAGTTGAAGCATTTCAGTATTCATGTGTAAGAGCTCTTTTATCACAAATTCACATGTTAGAGCATATTCATCATCATCACTTCTGAGATAATATAAAACCAGTTTATTTTTCATTACTACAATATTTTGAATTTTATGTAATGAAGGGCTCTATACTGGGTCTATTACACAATGTGTTGTTTCTATCCACTTTCCCATTTAGCGTTAGCAAGAAGATAATAAACTATTTCTCCTTTTTTTGATTTTTTTTCATTCTTTCCTATAAGATGCTTTCATGGAATAGATGGCTTAGATTTAACCTTTTCTAATTTGATAGCTTTTATTGGTGCCAACCCCTAATTTAAGAAGCCAAGAGCTTTAATGAGGCATGTAGGATAATTATTAAGATAATTTATTACTTTGAATAAATGTTTAACTTATGCTCTTATTAATTTAGGGTCCGAAAATATACTTTCAATGCTATATTGAATCTTATATAGCATTTCAGCTAGAGTTTTATTAAATCTCTCCACAATTGCTATATTATGATAGAAATATGGACCAATAACTTGAATTACTATACTATGTTCTTCTATTATTCTACTAGTCTTGCCCATTTATTCCTAATTATTATCTGTTTGTAATAATCGAGACTAGGTTAATAAGTAATTATAGCTATTATATATTTTCTTAAATGCTTTAGTAACTTCTAAACTTTTCATCAATATGAGAGAAACCGAGGCCTTATATCTTGACACACAATCTACTATATTTAATACTGCTTTGTATGTTTTTTTTTTATATTTGTTATATGTAAGAAACAGTATATCAGCCTGGTGTATATAATTAGAATATGATATCCAACCATAGCTGGCTCTAGTGATGTGTTTTGAAGAAGGCTTATAAATTTGGTACTGTTGTTAACACTTCAACCACTTACAAATTTTTTTATATAAGAAATGGTAGCCTTTATCCTTGATAGCTTTATATAATTTTTGAGCATTAGAATGGTAACCAATATGATTATAATAAATTAACTAGCAAGCAATATCTACTTCCTTATCAGGATCTATAGTAATACTAGATTGATTCATTTTTGATACATTTTACTATATTAATAAATTATTATTTGGTAAAGTTTCCAGAAGTGTCGATATATTATAGGCCTGTACAATGTTATCAGATACAATAGTGCCTTCATCTAGTGAAACAATTAAAAAATTTGAAGCTAGTTTGCAGATAATAAAAAATCAATTCTGTAAATTACAATGAGATCTAGACTTAAAAAAGAGTTATATCAAATATCTCGAAAATGAAATTTTGATTTGAGATAGAGAACTGGATCTATTACAACAGGAAATTTCTAATATTAAAGAATGGTCAGAAAAAATACTTTGAGATTCTAAAAGCCAAGAGAATTATATAGACTATTTAGAAAAGTAGTTAGTAATTTTTCAAGATAAAATAGACAAGCTTAATGAAAAAATAAAAATACTTATTTTATATAAAAATGGCAATGATAATATAGATATGGCACAACCAGGATCACTTTAATTATCTTTGTCTGAAAACCAAGCTATGATTCAGAATATAGAATTCAGCAAGAGGTTGATAATATTAGATGGTATTTTCAAAGCCCAACTACAATAACACCTATAATAAATGGCATCGTAGATTATCTTAATATAATTTCTGATGCCAGAAATAGGCTTGAAAGAATAGTGCTAGAAATATATTCATGAGCTAATGCACATGCAATCAATGCAGAAAATCGAGTAGTAGATTTGCAAACTTAGCTAACAAATTTGCAAACCCAGATAGCTGATTTGCAAACCTAGTTAGCCACACTTCAAAATAATTATGATCTTCTTTATCAAGCTTATAGAGGCTACAAACTTAATTATCACTTATTAAAAGCAACTTGTATAGAAAAAAATAAGTGTATATCAGAGCTACTCCAAGAAAAATTTGTATTATATCTTTTAAATAGACAATTTCAGATTCAAGCCTAGCAAAACAGCCAGCAACTACAAGATTGTAAGATGGATAAGGCAATTATTATATATCTCTTAAATCTTACAACAAATCAATACAGTAAGTAGAAAAATAAATGCAAGACTCTAAAAAATAATCTATTACTTGCTAATGTTTAACTAGACAACAAATAAAATAAGTAGAAAACTCGGGCATGAAATTCTGAACAATTAATTAATAATTTAAATTAACAAATTTTAGCACTACAATATAACCTACCAAATATGATAACAGTTGCAGGAAACTTAACCAGCATTGCACCATTAATTGCAAAGATTCCAAATTATAGTGGACAGATTCCACCAGATGAATAATATTAAAGAATTAATCAAATATTAACTTTACTATCAATTACGGTAGGCGCCTTTAATAATGCACTTCGAGCAAATATTTTAAAAAGTAAGATGGCTAGAAAATATACAAATATACCTGCACAATACCTCACAGGTACAAATATTGATACTTCAGCTCATTTTATTGTTTGATTGCATCATAAATATCAAACAAAGACAGTTAGAACACAACAAGTTGCTACTCAAAGATTAGCATAAGAAAAATTCTTACTATTTGATAATCCAGAATTATATGAGGCTAGAATCTATTCTCTTTTATTAGAGGTTGCTAATGGTGATGCCAATATCTTAGGACTTTTTAAGAGTTATTTATCAAGAGAGCATTATACTTGGATGAAAATCACTAACCTTGGTGGTATTAATGCATTTTTTACAGAACTTAAAAATATGTGATTAGAACATCCTTCAAATTTGTATAAAGGCTCTATTCCTAACCAAATTTCTCAAACTTCCACTGTTAATATACAAAATAAATCACATTCTGATAGTAATAGTATATCTCAAGCTGAACTAAATAGTATGATAAAATCACAATTAGCTTTAGTACCAACTTCTTCTATTTAGTTTTCACAGCTCCAGAAAATACAAGCTTTACAGTCTCAGCAAAAGCAACTCGATTTTAGTAACTATCTTAGAGTACCAAATAAATATATGCCAGAAAGACCATCAGATGAGTATGGTGTAAATTCTGAAAAATTTATTCATTGTGATCTTATAAACCCAACTTCTTCAGCCAGCCAAATTATAGAATCTTTAGCTAATAATCTTTATAAAAAAGTGTCAAATATGTTTTCGGCAAAGACAGTGCAATCAAAGAAAAATATTGAAGTGGACTCTGACGAAGAACTGGCTGATCGTATAGGTAAGTTATCAATAAATAAGACTTTGTTAAAAGGTTTTGAGGCAGAAGTTCATGCTGTTATTAAATCATCCAAACACTGTTGTTCAAATTGTAATAGAACTAAACACAATTCTCGTAAGTGTCCTAGAAAAAAATCTAAGAATTTCAAGAGATCTAGCAAGAATAAAAAAGCTAAGATTAATATAGCTATAAATAATTCTGGTTCTGATTCAAATTCTAACTCTTCTAATAATAATTCTGATTCTGGGTCTGATTCTGATGACACCTTCTCTGAAACTGAGAGTATGAATGTTAACATTACTAGGGCAAAAAAAAAATAAATCAGAAGAGTAGTTCAAGCAAATTATTATCTAAGAAGGTATCCAAATCTCACAAGATTGATAAAGAACCTAAGTCTCACAAGAAGAGTAAGAGTAAGCAAACAGTTTTAGAACAAACTATTCATAAAATTATCCAAAGTGAACTTAAAGATATTTTACTTTTATTATTGCAGAAGCTCAATTTTAATAATGAAAAATTATACCATATTCAAGATAATATTTATCGAGAACCAGCTCCAGAGATATCTAATTCAGATGAAGATGAGACTTTGGATGACCCTATGGAAATTGATTTTGTTTGTTAAAAAGAACCTGATACAGGTATTGTAACTATATCATGCAAAATTAAGTATTTAAAAATCTCAACAATGATACTTGATAGTAGAGCTGAAACTGAGATTGTAACAGAAGATATTGTTAAGCATATAAATAGAAAAATTGATAGATCTGTAAAGTATGACCTTAGTGGTATTGCTACTATTCCAATTGAGTCTATTGGTATCATTCATAATTTACCAATAACACTAACTCCTGATTGAACTATATATAAGGATTTTGTAGTCATGAAATATTCAAGCCAATGTTAATATTTTCAAACTAACTTCTCAAGAAATATAAATGTGTTATTGATTAGAATAATGATAAAATTAAGATTTATCACAATAGAAAGGATCATATTTTTCCTGTAACTATGCATAAGATGAAGAATAAGCTTGAAGTAAATTATACTACTGAGACTTAAGATGGCTCACATAATGAGGATACTATTACATCTAAGCCTTTGATATCTGATCAAATTTTACAGAAAGTAGATAGTAATAAGGATGACAGTATACTATTAGAGGAATGGCATGCTCCTGCAGGTTTTAGCTTAGATTCTGTTGATTCATCATTTAAAAAAAATGCATAAACTATGAGGAGTTAGAAAAATTGCTATATACTACCCTTACCTCTAAAGCTAAAATAAATGATCTTTGTAAAAAGTTACAAATATGTTATAAAAAGCTACTCAAACATATCTCCTCTAGAGAAGATAGCATAAATAAAGAAAAGATAGACTAAGTAGTAGCTAATAGGCAAGTCATATTTGCTTTATTTTTCTTATCTCTTCTGGCTTTTTTTCATATAATGCATCTAGATTCTCATTACTTATTTTTTCTATAGGGTTATTAATAGGTATTAAATCAGATATATGAAAGCAGAGCTTATTATTATATAATACAGAATTAGTCTAAGATTTGGATCTTCTCTTTTTTGTTTCTAAATTGAGAGTAGTAAATTCTAGTTGTAGGTTCAGAGAATTATAATTCAAAGAATTATTTAAGAACTTGCTTTGCAATAAAACCTTACTTTCAATTCATAATCAAGAATTTATTTGTTGTCGATATTCTTGATTTTCTATATAATCAACAACACGAGAGTGAAATATATAATATTTATTTGCCATTGTATTTATTGCATTAGGTATTATATCTATTGATCCTTTAATTTCTTGAATTGCCTCATTTGAAAGAAATGTTGCATTAGTATTATAATATTTTTTATGGATACATCCTATATTAATCATGTAAATGTTCTGCTTTGCAGAAATATTTTTATTATAATATATAAAGAAAAGTTTCAAAATGTTTCAAAATGTTTTAAAATATTAGTTATATATATAGTAGTTGATATATAATGAAAAATATACAAATATTCCAGAATATCTTAGAATGTTTTGAAATGTTTTATTATATTTAAAAATATACAGATATATAAAAAAATAATATTTACTGAAGATATATTTTACTTTTACATCTTATTCATTTTTTATATATTATCTATTATTTAGCAGAGCAAGTACAAGATGCTAATATGTTAATTAATATATATATATTACAAAATATTAAAGGCTATTGACTTGGTAGTATACATGAAGAAGAGCTAAAAAAAAAATACACAATTCTATCAAGTCCAAAGCAGAAATTAATAAGCTTAGTGAGAAATTGCAGGATAAATACATAAAGCAAATGAAGGTGTTTGATCGAAAAAAAAGAGTGGAATCAGAATTTGTTACGAAATAATACTGAGATTCAAAAGTTACACACCCATGCTTTGCAAGTTATTAATGAGCATAAGCAAATACAAAATAAAAATACTAATCTTATTTCTCATAATGCACAAAAGGATATTTTTATTGTTAAATCCAAGGCTGAGAATATTATGAAATCCAAGAAAATTAAATCACTTGAGTTTATGATCAAGATATTGAAAAATAAGTTGTCTTCAGTTCAGAAAGATGTAATTTTAATTCAAAATAACTTATTGAAAAAAGAATCCAAGATTTTATCTCTCAAGTCTAAAATAGTTGAAATAGAACATAAGTTAGCTTTGAAAGTCAGTGAACTTGAGTGTCTAAAATCGGAAGCTATATTAAACTCCATACTTGGTAGAAACAATGAAAAAAATATAACTAAGTCTAATGATATATCTGCAGTTATTGAACTTAGCAAAAATCTTAGACAATATTTTGTATGCAGAAAAAGTATGAATTAAGCTAAAAAAATTAATAATGATATTTTAGCACAAACTAGCACTTTTGGTACTTGCTTCATTTATAATAAGATTACCGAACTATTAAAAATTGATACAGAGGTTAATTCAGAAGTAAAGAATAGAACTAGCATTAGTAAAATTAACAAGGATGATATACTAGATATATCGATAAAACCCAATACATTACAGATTATATCTGAAAATGTAACTTCACACCTTATACAACTGGATAATAATATATCTGCTTTAATTGAATCGAATTTTCAGATAAGGCCTGATCCTGAGGCTTTGCCTCTTCCTGCTATAGCAAGCACTTTGATGTCACCACTATCAGTATATATTTTTCTTGCACTGTTAATTATTGTAGTTGTGTGGTTTGTAAGATGCACATGAAATATAGATAGGCTCGAAGTGCCATTGCTCTGCAGGCCTGAAGGAGTGACTCTAGACTCAAAAAAGAGACAAAGTCTCAAATCTCTGATTTACCATTTTTTTGAAATAAAGGGTCATAAAAAAAGTGATCAATTGTGGGATATGTGGATTGAGTAACAGGCTGTCAATTTAAACTTGGATATTATTTATGTACAAAAAAATATTTATTGTATAGCCTTATAGATATTATGTTATATTTATATTAAGTTGACTGCCTTATACCATATATTTAGAAAACTGTTGAGTACCAGTTGATCAGCTTTCATTATATTAGATATAATAAGTTGCTCAACAACTATCTCATTTTTTCTTATAATTTCAAGTGGGCCAATTTTATCTGGGTTTGATATGTGTTCTTTATATCATATGTGATATACTAATTAATGAAAAAAGGCATCATATTTTTTGATAATTGGGATAAGTATATTTATATGTTTCGTAAAATCAGAACATATAGATTTTCTTACCTCAGTACTTACTAAGAGATTATTATTTTTAGTATATGCTTTAGCATACTCTATGAATCTTTCCAGTAATCTTGAAACAAGGTTACCTACCTTAAAGTCTTCAAAGCTTAACCAATTTTTATGATATATTTTATATATATTACCTATTTTCTGATATAATATATTTTGCACTTTCTTATAAGCATGTTTGTAGGCATATCTACAATTAGATATCTTTTTAGAATCGATTCCATTTTTCATATTTATTTTCTTAATATATGACTTAAGCCACTTCTTGGCCTTATTTTGAGCATAGATATCAATTTGTTTATACTTCCCATCTAAGTCAGAAATTTGCATAATTTTGTCAGTAGATGGTGGTTCATATCTTTTATCATACATTATAAATCAGGCACAAAGTGCAGTAATAGTATTTTCAAAGTAATGAGATAGATCCAATTTCTTATTTAATTCTTTTGCAACATCTACAAATTCTATTTAATCACTTTTTTTCAGTATAAGCTTTTTATCAGATAAACCAAAGAGTGAATCTGGATGGATTATTATATAACTAAAGTGTTCTTCTGGATCCAGAATCTTATTTTCATATTCTTTTCTTATCTGTTTTATAAAGCATTGAATACATATATTATTTTTATCAGGTTTCCACACAGCTGTCTCTATAAACTGCTCGAAATCCTATTGTTTAGAATTGGATATGGCCTCTTTAAGAACATCTTTAACAATCTGATGAAGTGAATGTATATTATTGATATCCATAACTCTTCACATAATTTGATCTCCTATAGTTCTAAAAAGTTGGAACTTACCTTGTTTTATGGTATCAATCTTTTTGATAAAAAGTTCATCTGGTTTGAAGTTCACAGCTTTCTTGTATGCTATACTAATATACTTCTTTTTACTAATAAAACAGACAGGAAATAATACCTTCTCATATGCTATTTTTAGGTAAACTGATCTGCTTTTTAATTTAAGAAATGAATTTACCTTATTACATAGTTTTCCATTACCTTCATAGTAATTTCAACTATTTCTGTCCAATACTCTAACTTTGAGATTGTATCTTTGTTATTATTATAAGCAAGATTATATTCTTTATAATAATTATTTGGGAATTTAAGATACAAAGAGTCTGTATCACTATACTTAATTTCAAAACCTTTCTTTTTTATGTATTCTGCAACAAGTTTAATATTATACTGTCCTGCTGATATAACACTACCAGCAAGCTGGCATATATAAAAAAGTGAGAGACTGTTATCTGTTTTATTATAAAATAAATTTATATACACTTTTAATGCTTTCTGCTTTGAATCTAAGTAGCTGTAGTCAAAATAAATCAAATCATATTCTTCTATAAAATTCTTATAAGGTGTTCCAATAAAATTATTTAGGGTTTTGGCCACATCTAGGCATTGCTTTTCATCTTTTATATCCTCCAGAATATCTTTAATAGTTTCTACAATTACTATCAAACTAACTTCAGAATTTATTTTACTTTTCACAAGTCCCATATGCTTTATTTTCTTTCCAAGGGGTTTCAATTGGGTCTTTATCTCATTTCGCTTATTAAGTAAATATTCTAATAAAGATGGATATAAGCCTTTTTGGTTGGATTTGTTTTCATATTGTATGCTTTATACATAAATAGTTCCACCAAACTCAATTGTATGAAGTATTTTGTTTTCTTTCTTTAGTGCATTTGCTTCAGTTAATGTATATATTATCTTTTCTGATAATAAATTATAAGTCATAATAAGACTCAGATACAAAGATGCAAAATCCAAATCTGTAACTGAATATTTATCTTCAAGGCCTTTATCTGAAGAGTATATATAAGCTTCTGGGAATGATCCTTTTTTATTTTTTTTCATTATCATAATAATTAGAATATCTTACTTTTATGCTTTGGCATTCAAGAGATTATGTATTTTTATACCTATAGCATAATAATATGAATTGAATAAAAATATATAAGCAATAGATGCAACATCCCTATGAAATTGACAGAGATTAGGATCGATTTTCCTATCATGTAATTTTTCTGACATCAATAATAGTTAAATAAAAAAGTAATTATTATTAGGGTTTGGGTTTAAGTTAAGATTAGAGGTGGCTATAGTATAGCAAATTTACATGAAGAAAATTTTTTGTTAGTAATACCAAATCGATTTACTAGTTTAAATTTTGAGATAACCCTGATTTTTACAAAGTGAATGTTTGTTTTGATTTTTTTCATATTACATCTGATTCTGATTTTAATTGGCTAACTGATGTCAGAAAATCAAATGAATGGAAAATCGATCCTATGCTCTGGTGTTGTCACATCTCTATAGTCATTTATCATATTTTTCTCGACCATAAGTTACTGAGAAGATTTAGCATTCACAATACAGTATTCCATAATTTTATGCATATATTTGGTAGTTTCAGTTGTAGTAGAGATTTTGCTTTGCTCATAATATGTTCTCATATTCTTTATAGATAAATCTATTTTACTTTCAAGACCATTGATTTCTAAGTAATGGTTAAGTGTATTTATCTCAGAATCTGAATGAAGTTTTTTACAACATATTATTATATCAATCGGAACACAGGTAAGAATTTTAAGAAAAGTGAATGTAAATGTTTTTTCAGGAGTGATTTTAATCTCTATTCCTTCTTGATTCTTTATTTTTTTATCTTCGATATTATGATTATCTTTCTTTTTTTTTCTTCTGATTTTACTTCCCATGTTTTTTTTTTATGAAAGAAATCTTTATAGAAAGGTTCATCTACTTCTCTATAATAATTCTAATGAATAATACTATTAATTGTAATTTTTTTACGTGGATTTGCTAACATTTTTGTTAACATTCAATCTAAGATTTTCTACTGAGTAGCTCTTTCTACTACAAATGACCAGTCATATTTAAATTCATTATACAGTATATAAGTTCGATATCAGGAGCTAATAATTGCCAGCATAAAGCAAATGCTTTTAATAGATTTTTTTTATTTTTACAAATAATTATTATTCAATTTGGATCTGGTGCAGTTTCTATATCAACAAAACAAATCTGTTTTAATAGTTTTGGATTATCTTTCTAGTGAACAGTCATACAAATTATAAATATGTTATCTTCTTTATATCTTGCCATAGAGACATGTTCTAATCCAAGCATTGTATGTGTTTCTATATCTTAGGTAAGAACTAGTACTCGATCATAAATAATGAGAAAAATGGATAAGCCTTATACAATACTGTAGGATCCTCTACAAAATAAAAATTATTAATAAATACATAAAAAGCATGTTTACAAAGTGGAGAATGAGCACTATAAGGCATCCTGCTATTATTATATTCATATTTTGTTAATAAAGCCCATCCAGAGAGTGGTATCCTATATTCTTGAGCAACTTTTTAATAATATGCTCTCAAATCATCTGAGGCAGTTTTCAGTTTGTGCTCATTGGCAATTTCTAAATTGTAATTTAAAATAATCGCAAGAGTAATTGATCTTTGCTTAATATTAGTTGTAATAATGTAAATATGAGGTTTTGGTTCTTTATAATATCTACAGATTGGAAATGCTTTTATATGTTCTGTCCGAAGGTTGGTCATATCTATAACCTCTCTTTTATCTTTTCTATTAGCAAGAATATTTTTTATTTTGATCTTAAATATGTCAATATTTTTATTATCAGGAACGTGAATATTAAAGAAAACTTTTATATTAGAAATAGTTACTACAGCTTTTTGACTATTAACAAGATAATCATAAATATGTAAAACATAATAAGGAGTATTATTTATATATTTATTATATTCTTCAATATCAATTGGCATAAAAGGTATATCTTCTTCATTGACTAAAGCACATTTAATAGTTGTTGTTGATCTGTAGTCATCATTTTCTGTAATTATCATATTGTGACTTGAATGGATTAGTAAATAATCTCTTTTATAGTATCGATATACTTCACTTACTTTTTTACTTTCCAAAATATGTGATTGAGGGAAAGCTTTGCCCTCTTAGTGGTACAATGCCCTACTATTTTCTATTATAGAGCAGGCATAAAGGGGTGACCTTTTAGGGTTATGGCTTAAAGAGCCTTTCT